CTACTTGAATTGCTTAACTTCTTGCTGATCAAGTAATAGTGACAATAAAATATTTTTACTGCTCCAATGATCATATCCTTTGACAATTAAATGTATTATTACAAGCCAGCATAAGGACTACCCTCCACCCGTTTTCCTAAATGGCGACTCTAAACTGAACCATGTAATAGATGACAATAAGATGAAATTATTGCAGAATGGACTTCCGAAAAGTGTTCGTAAAAGATGGAACACCGAACAACCATTAAGGTCAACAACTTGTATCAAATCTAACCTACTTCTTAATACAAAAAAAAAACAATTCTCTCCTAGTGAATTAAATACAACTCGTTTCGATTAGAGATAAACGGTCGAGAACTTGATTGAAATCAACATTCGAGAGTGAAATGAATGACTTGAGTGTCAAACAATTTGGTAGATGAGACACTGATAAGATTTATTGATTGATGAACAGAGCAGAACATAAGTCCGTAAAGCGAGAGCGGTGAAAAGCGTTGCTCAATGAAATAATATTTCGCTTATTCATAATGAGCAAAAAGAAATACACATCAAATAAACCAATGAGACGACTAATGGACTCTACCTAATAAAGTTGGCGTGTGATCGTGTCAAATCATCACATGCTTATGCTCTCAAACAACTGTAAAAGCTTGCTCCAACTGCCTTAATAATATGCAAAAACGACGAGCACTGCAAATAATGATCACTAGCAATGCTATCACCTTAATAGAAATAACACAAATTTACGGTGATTAACCAAATCCATCAATAAATTTATTCACTAGCTGACTCTGCAATGACCTTTGCAAGAATATCACAAATTGTACAATTCATTGATAAATAAAATCTTCGATCCCTTGCTCAGAACATAAACCATATCGAATACAACCAAATATTCACTTGCAATCAATTCAATTACCGTTCACGTAATCACAAAAAGAAAGACTAAGCCACAAAAAAAATGAATAACAAAAAAGAGGACTGCATGAAATGACTAAATGAGGTTAGGATTAAAGTTAACTTCGAAAGAAATAAGATCACGAAACTCAAACGAACACTACTCATCGATTCAACTAGCTGATCGTAAACACATTCAGGTAAATCGAAATCGAATCGTTGTGCATTCATTAAACAATGAATCATCAATCACGAATAACAACTAGTAGAACGCATTCACCATCCTCGACACAATACAACAACCTAAAGGTTCATTAACATAGTTCGTGGATCTTCAACGACCGTTTTAATCTTCTTCAAGAAGGTGACTGCTTCTCTGCCGTCGACAAGCCTGCAAAATTGCATTGTTAATTCACTGCTTCTTCAGTGGATTCCATCTCGCTGAATCGAACGCAGTACTACCTGTGGTCGTAAGTGAGTGCGATCACCATCACTGGATGCACCTCGACCTTGCCGTTCACCGCTACTGGCTTATCGAAGATACCGTGCATGCCGAGAATGGCCGACTGAGGCGGGTTGATGATCGGAGTGCCCATCAACGAACCGAACACACCGCCGTTGCTGATCGTGAACGTTCCACCTTCCATCTCTTCGATTGCTAACTTGCCATCACGCGCCTACAACCCATCAAGCAATCAATTCAAGCTGTTCACAACCACAAATAATGCTAGGATTACAACTTGACATCTAGGATTATAACTTGACCATCAGTGCATATATATATCCGGTTCGAATATCATCCAACAACCAACCTTAGCACCAATCGCAGCCAGTGTACTTTCAATAGTAGCGTAATCCATCGCTTCAGCGTTCCTCAACACCGGTACCACCAATCCTTTGGGTGTTGCGACCGCAATTGACATATCCACATAATGTCGATACACTATCTCATTCTCATCGATCACTGAAGTTGTACGGTTATGATCATTCATCACTATCATTATTGCTTCATTAGCTTACCTGCATTAACAGTCGGTTGTTGTTGAAGCGCATAAGCAGCAGCTCTAACGAACGGTGACATCAGACCAAGTTTGATTCCGTGTTTAGCCACAAACTCCTTCTGATATTTTTTCCTCATTTCCATTACATTGCTGCAATGCATTATTCGAAGATGCAACTGATAAATACGGACACGAACTGCAATGAAATGAACTGATAAACGTACGTCATATCGACCTCATTGAATGTGGTCAACATTGCGTAAGTGTTCTGGGCTTCTTTCAGTCGTTGGGCAATACGCAAACGCATTCGATTCATCTTCACTCGCGTCTCATCACGACTTCCGGTTATTGCTTGGGCTGCATTTACACCTGGTGGTAACTTCACTGCTGCGATCTGACTGACCGGTGTCGACGCCATCGGTGCGCTTGGTGGTGCTGCTACTTTTGGTGCTGCTCCTGGGACGGCACCTCAATNGGTGGTGGTGGAGGTGCAGCGGCTGCAGGTGGTGGGGCTGGTGCGGCTGCAGCCGGAGCTGGGGCAGCGGCTGCGGCCGGTTGTGCCGGAGGAGCTGGCGCTGCTTCTGCTTTGGGCGCTTCGGCGGGTGCAGCTGAAACAATATCGGAACTCTCAGGTGTGTCATATTCATTATGAACTGATCCTCACAAGAACAACAGTCACCAAAATCGACCAACCTGCAGCAGCAGCACCACCACCCTCTCCCGGTTCCAATTTATACAGTTTCTGTTTGGCAGTCACCTTGCCGCCATCCTCCACCAATAAATCCACGATTGTACCAGACTGAGGTGCTGGCACTTCCACCGTTGTCTTATCAGTCTCTATCTCAGCAACAAGGTCATCTGCATTCACGAATTCACCCTTCTCTGCAACACATAATACTATGCACTCACTTCAACCAATCTCGAAGAAAGCTTCACAAGATGATCATCGTCACTTACGTTTCAACCAATGAATGTCACCCTCAGAGATTGACTCAGCGAATTCAGGACCTTCAATTTCGAGTACTTCTCCTGGAATTATTTTCAAAAACTAGAATCTTTCGCTTCATAAGAGCACAACAAATGAAAGAATGAAAAAAAAAAACAACAAAAAAGCCTACTAAGTGAGTAAGTGGTATGTAATCGCCTATACTGGTGATGGTTTCTGGCGAGAGCAATCGAACTGCTTGAAGCATCATAAAGCCGATTTGTCGTTGATCGTTGTGTCAGTTCGAATCTTGGTGTTACTCCACTCGATATACTTCGAACAAGATGTACATTCTGAAATTACT